TAGCACCCATCACAACCACTCTCTACCACCGGATGCACAAACCACTACCACCCTCTACCACATCACAACCACTAACCACACCCTCTACCCACCATCACAACCACTACCACCCTCTACCAACATCACAACCACTACCAACCCTCTACCACCATCACAACCACTACCACCCTCTACCACCATCACAACCACTACCACCCGCTACCACCATCACCACCATACCACCCTCTACCAACATCCACAACCACAACCCCCCTCTAGCCACCATCACAGCCACTAACCACCCTCTTACCACCCACAACAGCCACTACCACCCTCTACCACCATCACAACCACTACCACCCTCTACCACCATCCACCACCACTACCACCCCTACCACCATCACAACCACTACCACCCTCTACCACCATCACTACCACTACCACCCTCTACCACCATCAACAGCCACTACCACCCTCTACCACCATCACAACCACTACCACCCTCTACCACCATCACAACCACTACCTACCGCACCCTCTACCACCATCACAACCCACTAGACCAACCCTCTACCACCATCACAGCCACTACCACCCTCTACCACCATCACAGCCACTACCAACCTCTAACCACCATCACAGCCACTACCACCCTCTACCACCATCACCGCCACTACCACCCTCTAACCCCCATCACAGCCACTACCACCTCTACACCATCACAACCACTACCACATCACAACCACACCACCCCCTCTACCTCCATCTCAACCACTACCACCCTCTTAACCACCATCATAACCACTACCCCACCTCTACCACCATCCACAACCACACCACCCTCTAACCGACCATCATCAGCCACTAACACCCTCCTACCTACCATCAACAGCACTACCACCCTCTACCACCATCAAAGAGCCACCTACCACCCTCTACCACCACCCACCACTACCACCCTCTACCACCATCACAACCAACTACCACCGCTCTACCACCATCACAACCAACTACTACCCTCTACCACCATCACAACCACTACTACCCTCTACCCACACCATCACAACCACTACCAACCCTCTACTCTCCATCAACAGCCCACTATCCACCCTGTACTCACCATCACACCACTACCACCCCTCTACCACCATCACAGATACAACCACCCCTCTACCACCATCACAGCCACTACCACTCCTCATACCACCATCACAGCCACTACCACCCCTACCACCATCACAGCCACTACCACCCTCTACCACCACACAGCCACTACCACCCTCTACTTGCCACCATCACAGCCACTACCACAACCATCACACAACCACTACCACCAAACACACCCACTACCAAACCTCTAACCACCTCACAGCCACTACCACCCTCTACCACCATCACACCACTACCACCATCCCACCACTACCACCATCACAACCACTACCAACCCTCTACCACCATCACAACCACTACACCCTCTACCACCATCACAACCACTACCCCCTCTCTAACCACCATCACAACCACTACCACCCTCTACCACCATCACAACCACTACCACCCTCTACCACCATCAAACAGCCACTACCACCCTCTACCACCATCCACAGCCACAACCACCCTCTACCACCATCACAGCCACTACCAACCCTCACCACCATCACAGCCACTACCACCCTCTACCACCATCACAGCCACTACCACCCTCTACCACCATCTCACAGCCACTACCACCCTCACCACCATCACAAGCCACTCCCACCCTCTACCACCATCACAGCCACTACCACCCTCTACCACCATCCTAAACAGCCAGTTACCACCCCCTCTACCCCATCACAGCCATACCACCCTCTACCACATCAACAGCCACTAACCACCCTCTACCACCATCGACAGCCCACTACCACCCTCTACCAACCAATTACAACCACTACCACCACCCCTACCACCAACACAACCACTCTACCACCAATCCACAACCACACACTACCACCATCACTACCACCCTCTACCACCATCACAGCCACTACCACCCACTACCACCATCACAACCCTACCACCCTCTACCACCATCACAACCATCTACCACCACACAACCACACCACCCTCTACCACCATCACAACCATCTCTACCACCATCATACCTACCACCCTCTACCACCATCACAACCACTCTCTACCACCATCACTACCACCCCTCTATTACCAACCTTCACTACCACCCTCTATTACCAACCATCACTACCAACCCCTACCACCATCACAACCACCCTCTAACCACCACACAACCATCCCTCTTATACACCATCACAACCACACTCTAAACCACCTCACAACCACTACCACCCTCTACCACCATCACAACCCACTACACCCTCTACCACCATCACAGCCACTACCACCCTCTATACCACCATCACACAGCCACTTACCACCCCTACCAACCATCACAACCACTACCACCCTCTACCACCATCACAACCACTACCACCATCACAACCACTACCCCGATCCAACACTACCCAACCATCACAACCACAAACACCCTCTACCACCATCACAACCACTACCACCTATAACCACCCATCACTACCACTAACCACCATCACAACCACAACCACCCTCTACCACCATCACAACCACATACCACCCTTATACCCCCATCCACAACCACTACCACCCTCAACCAAACAATCACAGCCACTACCACCATCACAACCACACCATCATTATAACACCATCACAAACCACTACCTCACCGCTCTACACACCATCACAACCACTACCACCATCACAACCACTACCACGCATCACAACCACTACACCATCACCAACCACTACCACCCTCTACCACCATCAAACAACCACTACCACCCTCTACCACCATCACAACCACTACCACCCTCTAACCACCGATCACAAACCACTACTACCACTCTACCACCATCACAACCACATACCACCCTCTACCACCATCACAACCACTACCACCCTCTAACCACCACACAACCACTACCACCTCTACCACCATCACGAGCCACTACCACCCTCTACCCACCATCACAGCCACTACCACCCTCTACCACCATCAACAGACACTACCACCCTCTACCACCAATCAGCACAGCCACTACCAACCCACTACCACCATCCACAGCCACTACACCCTCTCCACCATCACAGCCACACCACCCTCTACCACCATCACAATCCACTACCAACCCTCTACCACCATCACAGCCACTACCACCCTCTACCACATCACAGACACTACCACCCTCTACACCATCACAACCACTACCACCCTCTACCACCAACACAACCCACTACCACCCTCTAGCCTACCAACACAACCACTACCACACCTCTACCACCATCACAGCCACCTACCACCCTCTACCACCACACAGCCCACTACCAACCCTCTCCCACCATCACAGCCACTAACCACCTCTACCACCGTCACAGCCACTTACCACCCTCACCACCATCACACCACTACCGACCATCACAACCACTACCACCCTCTACCACCATCACAACCACTCCCACCCTCTACCGTCATCACTACCACCCCTACCGCCATCACTACCCCCCCTTTTCCGCCATACTACCCCCCCTCTATGAGTAACAAAGGGGATGAGTTACAAAATATGAGGGGCAGTCCTACTGATAGGCGGATACGTCGGTAGGGACGATTTCGAGGATGTAGAAAAGAAAATTTTGCTGAAAAGTGGTCAAAAACTGTATTGTATGATACCGGGGGGATGAAAACCGGGTTCCCTGTTCCTGTTTGGAATAGTACATATATTGAAAGACTGGTTGTGGCCAATAAATTGCTCTGCTTTTTTAAGAATCTCTGAGTTAAATTTTTTTAGACCCCCGGGTTTGTCTTTATTTTTAAATGGACCCCTGTTCAGTAACCCGTTCCTTGTGATGATATTAAAAAAATTAAATTTTTCCCAGGGTTAGCCCACCCGCTTTAAAAAAAAGCCCTAGTCAAACTTTATTTGCTATGTTTATGTTTTTCTACTACCCAAAAAAGTTTAGTCCCTTCCCCAACCTGGCAAGAAAATGTAACCAGGTGAATTTAAGTACTGAAAATGCAGAAGTGGCAGGGAGAAAAAGCACTGAAAACCGCCATGTAGTATACAAAAAATTAACAACCAGTTTTGAAATGTCTTGCAGCGATTTTTTAAAAATTGGAAGCAAATTTTGGTATGATAATTTTAATGAGTGCTGTTTTATTGCCACCGTGGTGGCGGGGGCCCAAACCCCTTTGTTAATAGCAGTTTAAGGAATTTTTCCTTTCAAGGTAAGTCTTAATAAAAAACAAATTTAAGAAAAGACCCAACAAAATTTTTTGAAGGGAAAATGCAGAACAAGACGCAAAGTTTTTTGTATTGTTAAAATATAGATTCTTGTACTGTTAAAAAAAATCATAATTTATCTTTTTATCTGATGTATAATTCTTTTTCTGTTTATTTACTTTTATTTAAAATCACTAAGGGGGGGGAATAAAAAGGATCTGTTTGTATGCCTGGTAAAAGTAAGACTAACCCTAGAAATAAGTCACATTGGTGATTTTACTGGTTTTCCTGATTAAATTTTTGCTAATGTATTATGTAAAACTTTGGATGTATAAAATGATGTTGAGGGCCCAAAAAAAGCTTATTTATTTTTAAAATAAATGATCCTTAGAGCCCCAAAACTTAACGTGAAGGCGGCCGTTTTTGTGGAACCAGGAACCAGCAGTACAAATCTCTCGTGTATGCTGAACCAGCAGCAAATTGTTAAGGATAGTGGTACTAAATTATTTAGTACAGTAAGTGCCATAAATTGTTTAAGATAGCAGCAAAGTTTTAAGGATAGCAGGACATTGATAATTACAGCAGCAAATTGCTAAGGACAACAGAAAATTGGTAATGACAATTTTTTGTGTTCAGAGTGCTGAATAACCAAGAAGCTTTAGTACTTATAAATATTACAAAAATCAACAGCATTTCTTAATTTTTTTCCAGGCCTTTAGTGTAATAGTGAGGGTGTGTATATCATCATGGCACTAATGTGAGTACTAATGCAATTATGGGTGGTGTGTGTTGCTGATTTATCTAGATTTATCTAAATTTCACGCTTATTGTACAGTGATAGTACGGTGATGTGGCTATGCAAATGTCATAGATTTATTCGTGTTGAAAATTTGTAATCATTGAATATAACAATTCAGTGGAGTGATCAGGATTTGAACCTCAGCATCACGTCAGGGGGTTTCTCTATGAAAATCTGTGATTGGGTAACAGTTGGTGGCTGTCCATGATTCGTTTTTGAAAAGCTTTGACTCTCAGTGGTGCAATAGACGAAGATGATTGGCTGGTAATCCCAGACCACAGATTTGAATCTCAGTCACTCCATTATTCAAATACAGGTTGACCATCACTAATCAGGCAGTCAGTAATCCAATTCCATCAGTAATCCAGCACTAATTTTGACTAACATAATTTCATATTTCCGGGGTTGCCACACCAACCTGCCGTTACTGTTTGGTGGCGCTACTTGCTACATAATTCATTCCAATTTCTTTTTCTCTATTTATTTTTATAACCTGCTCACTTTTAGCCCTAGCCATGGTTTCAACAAATGAAAGAAATGCTTCTCGTTGTGCAAAGCACATACACCGTACGTTGTCCATAAAAGACAAGGTGGCTTTGAAGCCACTGTCAGTCGCCATGAGCTCAGCTCACTCAGATAAGTTGTGACTGGTAAATTTGGGCCTACATATGAGAGAATAGGTCTGTGTGGTAAATGTGCACTATATAAAAAAAATCCTGCAGCACGCAGTGCACAGTGAGAAAGAAACCTGCTTCTTTGGTGTAAAACAGCAAATTTGCGGTGCATTTTCAAGTGTTTTTTATGGTAGTATTCATGTTTTTCTGGTCTCATTTGATAGAATGGAAGATATGTTACAGAAACAGATATGATTTTGATTAGTTTCACAATGGAAAGTACCTTAAAATTGAGCACAAATTAGCAGAAATGTTCAAATTTTGCTGATGTTCAGTAGTAAACAAATGGCATCATCCAATACGTGTCCAACTGGCCAGTCTAATATGTAGTCATGAATGGATTGCATGAATGGAAAGCAGGTGTAGTGTAACATTAGAGGGGCCTGGAGATGAGACTAATGAACAAAGAAAATGTTATTTTAATGCCATGACTTTCTGCATTGTTTATTCTGGACCCTATTTTGAAATTGGCACCTCTTGATATTTGTGTGATATTGGCCAAATTACCAATTTCTGACCACTTTATTTGGTAGTTAAAATAGATAAATAGGTGGTTTCTTGTACTCAGTTGACAAAATAGAAGGAATACTGGCGAAATACCTATGAGTCTGGTCGACTGGAACAATGGAATGAGAGAAAAATAGGGCATAAAGTGGGTGAAATCGTCTATGAGTAAATATTGCTGTTGGGTTAAGTGTATTCTAACCTAACCACTCTGTAATCCGGCAGAATGACTAATCCGGCACCCTACATGTCGCAATGATGCTGGATTAATGATGGTCAACCTGTATATGGATTTCATGAATAATGTCTTTGTAATAATGTTGGTAGAATTACCGACAATATGTAAAGTAAAAGGACACAAGTGCAACTAATGTGACATTTTATTGTGGAAACGTTTCGCTCTCCAGGAGCTTTGTCAAGCCGATACAAACATTATATGGACACAGAGGGTATATAAAGGCTCAGTGAGGTGCAATACTAGTGAGGTACCATTTCGATGTTCACTAGTGATAGTAGTAGTAGTAGTAGAGACAAAAGTTGTAGTAGTAGTAGTAATACAATATGGTAGAGTAATTAATTCGTACATGAGTAAAAGAATATAAAAGCTATTACTTGGGTAACAAAAATAGGTTGGACAAATATAGGCTGCCGCTGCCGCCGCCGCCACCGAACATCGAAATGGTACCTCACTAGTATTGCACCTCACTCTGAGCCTTTATATACCCTCTGTGTCCATATACTGTTTGTATCGGCTTGACAAATCTGGAGAGCAAAACGTTGCCACAATAAAATGTCACATTAGTTGCACTTGTGTCCTTTTACTTTAAATAATGTCTTTGCCAGGCTTAAATTTTTATCAGTGAATGTAGCTTGGAATGTAGCTTTTATGTTTATATGCAAAATTGCATTTTTAACATTAGGTCTCCATGTATGCCAGTCTTTATTTACTCGCAATATAGATAAAAAATTAAATGAATGGCATACTATTGCACTTTGCCATATTCTTACTAAAATTTCTCGGTGCCTACCCTTCAAGGGGGCATCTTGATGCTGGTGAAGGACTGTTGATCAAAGGAATTGACACTATATCCCCTTGTATCAACTGTGATTGCCTCCCATTCCCCAGGCGCAGTATGACACCTGCGAGTTTAGCACTTCTCATGTGCACTTGTGCCACTTTTGCATGTTGCTTAGATCATCTGTCACATTTATGATGTAAATCCCATCTCTGCTATCATCACTGTGTACTGACTTCACTTTACTGTGTGGGCTTGTAAAATGCAGTTTGGCTTTTGTTCACTAAGAGTATTGTTCTTACTGATATTTGTTTTGTAATTTGTATGAAGTTCTAAAGAAATCAATTTTTTTATGCTTTGTAGTGGAGTAGTTATCTGTCTTTTAAGTGCCATCCTCAGCTGACTATTTTCTGTTTTTTATTTTGTAATAAATTTTGTTAGCTTGTTTTTGTATGGCTAGCATTTGTTATATGACTACATTTGTCTTGTTTGAGTTATGCATGTATATTTATCTTTGTAAAACATCTGTATGATTGTTTAATACTATATAATAATATATGGTAAGGCTATTGATATTTTTATTTATTGCAAATACTGCAGCAAAAACATACATTGTATATTTTAGCTTGTAAAATGTGCTGGTGTAGGTAGGCACAGTCATTAGCCTCCACTCCAGAACAAAGGCTTTAGAGCCAGCAAATAACCCCCCCCCCCCGTAAATTCCACCAATATAACGACATTTGTCTTTGCAAACATACAGGATCTATAGCCATCAGCAAACAAAATCCCTTACATCAAGGGACTGCTCACAGAGTCAAATGCAATGTTTGCAGCATTCACAGAGACCCACACAAAGGATCATTTTGACAATGAAATCTGGATCCCAAGTCATAAACTATTCAGATGCAACAGACTAAACAGGCAACAAGGGGGGGGGGGGGGTTGGCCTGTACATCACAGTTGCTCATTTGTTCAGAACTACTAAACACCTCACATGATGTAGTTGAAGTGTTGGCAGTAAAGATTGAGAACCCAAACCTTGTCATTGTGGTTGTATACAAGCCTCCAGATGCAACTTCCCAGCATTTCCGGGAGCAGCTTGTGAAAATTAACCACTGTCTGCAAAATCTCCCAACTCCTGCCCCAAACATCTTGCTACTAAGAGATTTCAACTTGAGACACCTAAAATGGAGTGTAGCAAATGATATTTTAGGAGAGATCACCCCAGGAGGCACCTCAGATGAAAATTCACACACACATGAGCTATTAAATCTCTGCACCAAATTCACCTTAAACCAGCAAATATTAGAGCCTACAAAACTAGAAAATATGCGGGACCTCCTCTTCACTAATGACAATCTGATACATAATATAACCATATCAAAGACAATAAACTCAGATCACAACATCATGGAGGTACTGACATGTATGCACAGGGCTCCTGACCAGAAAAATGTGATCAGTCATGGGGTGTCTTCACAAAATTCAATTTCAGTAACAAAAACATACAATGGGAACAAGTCAACCATGGCCTAAATGAAATAAGCTGGGAAGATATCGTAAACAACACAGATCTGAACCTTTGCCTAGAAAAAATAAACTGTGGTTCTTGAGATCTGCTCAAGGCACATTTCATTAAGAAAAGGAAAGAGAAGATGTAAACTAGAAAGAGAAAGACACTCCTTATACAGACAAAGGCAAAGAGTCACAGAGCTGCTGAGAGGGGCCAATATATCTGAAGTACGAAGGGAGGCACTGGTTAATGAAATAGCAAATATCAAACTTAAGCTGAAAGAATCATACAGGAGACAAGAATCACTAGAGGAACTAAAAGCCATAAAGGAAGCTGAAAAAAAACAAAATGCTTCTTCTCTTATGCCAAATCTAAGGAAAAAACAACATCTAGCATTGGGCCCCTGCTTAGATGAGATGGGATATATGCAGATGACAGCCAATACGACTCGGTGTTCAGCGAGCCACTGCCCACTAAGGGTTGACAATCCAAATGAATTCTGTATGAATGAGATCCAAAATTTGGTCATCTCAAAAATCTCAGATATTATCCTAACACCACTAGACTTTGAAAAGGTAATAAATGACATGCCCATTCACTCTGCCCCAGGCCCAGACTCGTGAAACTCCATGTTCATCAAGAACTGCAAGAAGCCCCTGTCGCGTGCCTTCAGCATTCTGTGGAGAAGGAGCATGGACACAGAGATCATCCCACACTAACTAAAAACAACAGACATAGCCCCACTCTTCAAAGGTGGCAGTAAAGCAAGTGCAAAGAATTACAGACCAATAGTACTAACATCCCACATCCTAAAAATCTTTGAAAGGGTTCTAAGAAGCAAGATTGCCAACCACCTAGATACCCATCATTTACACAACCCAGGGCAACATGGGTTTAGAGCAGGTCACTCTTGAATGTTCTAGCTACTGGATCACTATGACAAAATTCTGGATGCTGAAGAGGATAGACAAAATAAGATGTATACACAGATTTCCCAAAAGCTTTCAACAAGTGTGACCATGGTGTAATAACGCATAAAATGCGTGATAAAAGAATAACAGGAAAAGCTGGTAGATGGATCTATAACTTCCTGACAAATAGAACACAAAGAGTAATAGTAAACAGAATAAAGTCTGAGGCAGCTATGGTGAAAAGCTCTGTTCCACAAGGCACAGTACTGGCTCCCGTTCTGTTCCTCATCATCATATCTGACAGAGTTGTAAGCCATAGCTCTGTGTCTGCCTTTGCAGATGACACCCTGATTGCCACGACAATGACCTCCATCGAAGACACCGCAAGACTCCAAGCGGACATAAACCAAATCTTAAAATGGGGCCACTCAAAACAATATGAAGTTCAATGAAGAAAAATTTCAACTACTCAGATATGGAAAGCTTGAGGAAATTAAAACTGTATCAGGGTATACGACAAATTCTAACCATACAATAAAGCGAAAATGTAATGTGAAGGACCTGAGAGTGATAATGTCAGAGGATCTCGCCTTCGAAGACCACAACAATGTTTCTACTGCATCTGCTAGGAAAATGATAGGATGGATAATGAAAACCTTCAAAACTAGGGATGCTAAGCCCATGATGATTCTCTTCAAATTGCTTGTTCTCTCTAGGCTGGAATACTGCTGTACACTACTTCCCCCTTCAAGGGAGGGGAAATTGCTGACCTGGAGAGTGTACAAAGAACTTTCATGGCACACATAGGCATGATAAAGCACCTAAATTACTGGGAATGGTTGAAGGCCCTTGATCTGTTTTCCCTGGAGCACAGGCGAGAGATACATGATAATATACACTTGGAAAATTCTAGAGGGATTAGTACCAAACTTGCACACGAAAATCACTCCCTGTGAAAGAAAAAGACACAGCAGGAGATGCAACATTCCCCTAATGAAAAGCAGGGGCTCCACGAGTACACTGAGAGACAACACAGTAAGTGTCTCGGGCCCAAGACTGTTCAACTGCCTCCCAGCATACATAAAGGGGATTACCAATAGGCTCCTGGCTGTCTTCAAGAAGGCACTGGACAGGCACCTACAGTCAGTACCTGACCAACTAGGCTGTGCTTCATACATCAGTTTGGGCATGGCCAGCAGTAACAGCCTGATTGATCAGTCCCTGATCCACCACTTGGCCTGGTCTCAGACCTAGCTGCGGGAGTGTTGACCCCCAAAACCCTCTCCAGGTAAACTCCAGTAGTCAGGGAATAGGTTGTAGAGGTCAGGGAGGTGGGAGATAAAGGAAATAAATTACAAAGCATTGTACAGTACTCATTTTAAAAATGAACAGGTATGCTCAAGCCAGGGACCTCAGAGTGGGGAGTCACACCTCACAGTAGTCTAGGCTCAAACCCTGAGTGATTGATGTCCCACATGGCAGAAATAGTTTTGTTATGATTCTCATATAATATTTTTTATGTTTTTGGTATGTTCTTCCATTAATTTTAGCATTTTGTGAATATAATAATCTTCCAGTAATGTTGCATATGTTCTCATTGCTTAAAACAGCAATGACTAAAAGATTTACTAAACTTACATTCCTGTAAGTTCTTAGAATAGTTTTATATATGCTGATATTTTTTATATATAAAAAAATAATACTTTTTACAAAATACACATCTAGTGTATGATTCATATATTTAATTTTTAATATGGTATAGTACATTGTAAGCTGAGTAGTGAGTAGAATACAGCTCAATATTTAATGTGAAGAAAAACCTTTGTTTGTGTAGGAATTCTGTTAGATGCTGCACTGTACAGCATGTATTGATTAACATTATGTCCATACAGTGTACCAGAGGATATACAACTTGAGATATTGGAAACATAGCTCTTGTATGTACTACTACAGTACTTTTTTTTTGACCTCCATAGTTGTGTTCTCTTGCTTATCTGTACTCCTGGCCTTCTTTCTTTAATTATTTTAATTATAATTACTTTATATTGTTAGCCTATACTTATATTTGCTCCCTCCCTTCTGAATCATCTGTTTTACCTTCTTCCTTATATTGTTGCTTCTACCCCTCTTTTTATTTGTCCCCTTCCTGCTGACACTTGGCTGTGTTATGAGGGGTATAACAAAGGTACTTAACAAAATAAGCTTTTTCTGGACAGCATTTCACTAAAGTAAGAGCTTTAATCAGTTCCTGTTTACAAGAGAGTTGTAAATCCAATAAAACTCATAGTTACGTATTCTGGGTATAATATACATAATAATACAGTGGACCCTCGACCAGCGATGGCATCGATTAACGATAAATCTGACTAGCGATACATTTTATCGCAAAAATTTTGCCTCGATTAGCGCTAAAAAACTCGACCAACACTATTCGTTCCGTCTGAGACGCGTCCACGTTCTCGCCAGTGTTTACAAGCCAGCCAGCCACCGTGGTCGCTTCCAAGCATACAATCGGAACATTTCATATTATCACAGCCTTTTTAGTGATTGCACCTGCAAAATAAGTCACCATGGGCCCCAAGAAAGCTTCTAGTGCCAACCCTACAGCAAAAAGGGTGAGAATTACTATGGATATGAAGAAAGAGATCATTGCTAAGTATGAAAGTGGAGTGCATGTCTCCGAGCTGGCCAGGCTGTACACAAAACCCCAATCAACCATCGCTACTATTGTGGCCAAGAAAACGGCAATCAAGGAAGCTGTTCTTGCCAAAGGTGCAACTATGTTTTCGAAACTGAGATTGCAAATGATAGAAGATGTTGAGAGACTGTTATTGGTATGGATAAACGAAAAACAGATTGCAGGAGATAGCATCTCTCAAGCGATCATATGTGAAAAGGCTAGGAAGTTGCATGACGATTTAATTAGAAAAATGCCAGCAACTAGTGGTGATGTGAGTGAATTTAAGGCCAGCAAAGGTTGGTTTGAGAGATTTAAGAATCGTAGTGGCATACATAGTGTGATAAGGCATGGTGAGGCTGCCAGTTTGGACCCAAAAGCAGCTGAAAAATATGTGCAGGAATTCAAGGAGTACATAGACAGTGAAGGACTGAAACCTGAACAAGTGTTTAATGGTGACACTGACAATGTTGTGAAACACTTTAGGAATGTCATAAAGGAACGGGAGGTACAGGCCTCTATGGGCAGATATGTTGTGCGACAGAGGTCCAGTGACTCTCAAGCTGGTCCTAGTGGCATTAAAAGAAGAAGGGAAGTAGCCCCAAAAAAGGACTTGCCACCTCAAGTCCTAATGGAAGGGGATTCCCCTTCTGAACACTAAGACCATCAACACACTCCCCTCTTCCCATCCCATCAATCATCACCAGATCTTCAATAAAGGTAAGTGTCATGTAACTGTGCATGTCTTCTTCAGTTTATGTGTATTAAAATTAATATTTCATATGTTAAAATTTTTTTTTTCAATGCTTTTGGGTGTCTTGCACAGATTAATTTGATTTCCATTATTTCTTATGGGGAAAATTAACTTGACTAACGATGAGCTCTCAGGAACGGATTAATAGCGTTAGTCGAGGGTCCACTGTAATATACACGTAATATCTTTATTTACTACAAGTACATGTACAAAGTATACAGGCCTAGCTGACATCAGTGACATACTACTACAAAGAAAGCTGCTTGTTATACAGAGCATTTCGGGCAAATTAGGTCAGTTTTGTCCCAGGATGTGACCCAAACCAGTCGACTAACTTCCAGGTACCCATCTTACTGATGGGTGAACATAGACAACCGGTGTAAAGAAACACACCCAATGTTTCTACCTTGGCTGGAAATTGAACCCAGACCCTCGCCGTGTGAAGCGAGAGCTTTAGCCACCAGGCCAGGGGGCCCAAGGTAGTGATGATGTTTCCTTCATCAGGAAAGCATTTCCTGACATAAGTTGTCATATGATGACCAGCGCTGTGGTTAAGCACCAACTGATATACTGGAACTAGGTTTTCCACCCCACAAAAAAAATATAAAAGAAAATTAATTGGATGATTTTTAAATCACTTTCCTTAGTGCCTTTGTTTTGCCTTATTTTTTAATAGTCTGCCTGTTATTCTTGTATTATGAGTTTACATCTGTGCAAGTACTTTAGCATTTGCTGTTCCCGCAGGGGGACTGAGGGCCAGGGGTTCGTGGCAGCGATCTTCTATGGGGTGTGCTCGGCCTCCATGGCTTTCCTCAATAAAGGTGTCATCAACTCCTATGAATTTCCATTCCCTTTTTTCATCATGGCGTGCCAGGTAGGTTTGCACCTAGAAGAAGTTTGTTTCTTAGTACTCTGCTGCAAACACACACAGGTGAGTACATGCATGTGTGCACACATGTACACAGGGCCAAGAGCTTTGACTCATCTCCTGCAATCACATACAGGTGAGTGTATGCAGGGAAAGACGGAGAGAGAGAGGGAAATAGAGAGAGAGGGAAATAGAGAGAGAGGGAAATAGAGAGAGAGGGAAATAGAGAGAGGGAAATAGAGAGAGGGAAATTGAGAGAGAGGGAAATAGAGAAATAGAGAGAGAGAAATAGAGAGAGAGAAATAGAGAGAGAGAAATAGAGAGAGAGAAATAGAGAAAGAGAAATAGAGAAAGAGAAATAGAGAAAGAGAAATAGGAGAATAGAGAATAGAGAGAAATAGAGAGAAATAGAGAGAGAGAATGAAAGGAGAAATAGGAGAGAGAGAAATAGGAGAAAGAGAGAGAAATAGGAAGAGAGAAGAGAGAAATAGAGAGAGAGAGAAGAAATAAGAGAGAGAGAAATAGAGAAATAGAGAGAAGAGAGAGAAATAGAAGAGAAATAGAGGAGTAGAGAGAGAGAAATAGAGAGAGAGAATAGAGAGAATAGAGAGAGAAATAGAGAGAGAGAGAAATAGAGAGAGAGAAATAGAGAGAAATAAGAGAGAGAAATAGAGAGAGAAAAGAGAGAGAGAAATAGAGAGAGAAATAGAGAGAGAGAAATAGAGAGAGAGAAATAGAGAGAGAGAGAAATAGAGAGAGAAATAGAGAGAATAAGAAGAGAGAAATAGAGAGAGAGAGAAATAGAGAGAGAGAGAAATAGAGAGAGAGAGAAATAGAGAGAGAAATAGAGAGAGAAATAGAGAAAGAGAGAGAGAATAGAGAGAGAGAGAAATAGAGAGAGAGAGAAATAGAGAGAGAGAGAAATAGAGAGAGAGAGAAATAGAGAGAGAGAGAATAGAGAGAAGAGAAATAGAGAGAGAGAGAAATAGAGAGAGAGAGAGAAATAGAGAGAGAGAGAAATAGAGAGAGAGAGAGAAATAGAAAGAGAGAAAAGAGAGAGAGAAATAGAGAGAGAGAATAGAGAGAGAGAAATAGAGAGAGAGAGAGAGAAAATAGAGAGAGAGAGAGAGAGAGAAATAGAGAGAGAGAGAGAAATAGAGAGAGAGAGAAATAGAGAGAGAGAGAAATAGAGAGAGAGAGATAGAGAGAGAGAGAATAGAAGAGAGAGAAGAGAGAGAGAGAGAGGAGAGAGAGAGAGAGAAGAGAGAGAGAGAGAGGAAATAGAGAAGAGAGAGAAATAGAGAGAGAGAGAGAGAAATAGAGAGAGAGAGAGAGAGAGGAGAGAGAGAGAAATAGAGAGAGAAATAGAGGAGCTGTGAAACGACCCCTACAACCACAAATAGGTAAGTATACACATGCATAACCTCCATAACCATAACCTCCATAACATGAATAACCTCCAGGTATGCACCTGGGGGCCAGGAGCTGTGGCTCAACTACAACAGCATATAGATGAGTGTGAGCACACACAAGGAGTGATTGTGAGAGTGACTGAAACTTTTGTCATATTCTTCTGTCTGCTATGTGTAGGTTATTTGTATGTAGTAGTCGTAGTAGTTATAGACTGATAATTCTTTAATTATATTTTACAAGACAATACCAACCTTGTATTTTTTTACTAATTTTCCAAACTTCACAGTCATCCAGTGTACAATATTTTTTGCAAGTAAATATTTTGTTAAGTTTTGTTGTGAATGTGATGCACTTGTTTGTTCTGTTTGACCTTGCTTGTTCTGTTTGACCTTGCTTGTTCTGTTTGACCTTGCTTGTTCTGTTTGACCTTGCTTGTTCTGTTTGACCTTGCTTGTTCTGTTTGACCTTGCTTGTTCTGTTTTCACTAAGTTATATTTGCTGTGGCCTTAAAAGTAATTTCCCTCTTCACCCTTGAAGGTGGCAGACTGGGATTTTAATGGAAGCTGTTTCCTGGCTTACTTATAAGATTGCTTTCTCCATGTCTGAAATTTCTCATTGAATATTAATCCTTTCACTGTCTAGACCCCAAAATTAAAAACATTGACAATGTTGGGTTTTTCAGAGGAAAAAAAGTCTTCTGTAGTGGTAGAGAATCTTTTTCTGGAGGTAATGAACACAAAAATTACAGAATTTGATGGATAACTTATTGAATTATGCAGCATAATTCACACCTGATTTGAGCCCCATTTTAAGCCAGTCCCATTGCTCATTTTGACCAAATTCTTAGCTAGCTATTCCTTCTGTTCTTTTGATTGAATACATGAAATCACCCACTTAACTATCAGAACTACTTTTTATAAAATAAACAGAAATGGGCAATAATTTGGCCAGTTTAACACAAAATTCAACAAATTCCAGTTTAACAACAGAATCCAGAATGAACACTATGTATTCCAGCAACTAAAGCAACCTATTCTCTGTTCACTGATCACATCCCCAGGACTCTCCTATATCACATTTGCCCTTCATTTTGAATTTATTGTAACACACAATTATCAAAGTTTTATCCTATTTCTCAGATACTACAATATAATTAGGAATGATTAGTGATGGTTTAGGGCATCCCAGTAATTGAGGCAGACCTAGTAAAAACTTGTTAAACAGACCGGAGGCTTATACCCTTTCTCAGAAAAATCAGTCAACATTTAATGTTTCTGTCCTATTTCAAGTTACTTCCTGTCATGAAACTGACGGAATTGATCTCTGTTTCAGTAATATGTCTTCTGTTTTATTAATATCAAGAATTAGCTAATAAAACCATAAACGCCATCATAAAAAAATCCTCAGTTTATTTTGAACAAATTTCAAGGTTAGAGGTTTGCTTTTCCCATCATGTACTGCATGGGGCAGGAAGTGTTTTTTTTTAATACTCTGCACACTTACTGCACAGGCCCACTTTTATTTTTTTATTTAACTGGCCTTCACTCACGAAGGTAGGATGACCCATAAAAGAAACACTTTCACCATCTCTCACTCCATCTGTGTTTTGCCAGAGGGGTGCCAATACTACAGTTAAAAAAAGCAAATATCCCCACCTCTCATTTAGAGTGCAGGCACTGTACTTCCCACCTCCAGGACTCGAGTCTGGCTAACTGGTCTTTATAAAGATTTTCTTATGTTTAGTAATTTATACAGAAGAAGGGGTTACCAGCCCCTTGCTTCTGGCATTTTAGTCGCCTTTTGTAACATGCATGGCTTACAGAGGAAGGATTCTTTTCTATTTTGCCATGGAGATGAAAGGAAAATAAATAAGAACAAGATCTATTAAGAAAATAGTGGAAAAGTCTGATGAGCGTGTATACATATACATTTACACGCATGTGTAATGTGACCTAAATTTAAGTAGAAGTAGCAAGACATGCCTATTGTCTTGCATGTTTTTGAGACAAAGAAAAGACACCAGCAATCCTATCATTTTGTAAACAATTACAAGTTTCTATTTCACACTTGTTTGGCAGGATAGTAGTACCTTCCTGGGTGGTTGCTGTTTACCAGCCTGTCTAGGTCAAAATTTACTGCTTACAGCAGAGTTGAGGGCACTGTGATTAAAACATTGATCTACATGAGTTACACTGGCATCAATAATGTAAATCTATGTAGGAGACGGTGAGAGGGTTAAGGTCTCTGATGGCTTTGCATTTTATGTTAACCCTTTGAGGGTCCGTCCCATAGTTCTATGGCTTTGAAGACAGTCGTCAGTGCCGTAGTACTATGTCATGAGCCTACCTCACTCAAATAAGCTGTGAGTGGTAAATTTGGACCTAGCTATGAGAGAATGCATCTACATGGTAAATGTGCACCATATAAAACAAATCCTGCAGCACAAAATGCACGAGATGAAAACTGCGACAGTGTTTTTGGATTAAAACAGCAACTTTGTGGTGTATTTTCATATGCGGTTTACTATTTATTTATGGTTTCTTGGTCTCATTTGATAGAATTGAAGATATATTACAGAAAGAGAGATAATTTTGATTGGTTTTTGTACTGAAAATAGCTCAAAATTGAGCTCCAGGTAGCAGAGATGTTTGAGTTTTGCCAATGTTCAAGAGTAAACAAATGACATCAAGCATCCAATACACATCGACTGGTGGGTCTAACATACATTCACGAATATGCTGATATTATTTATACAATTATTACAATATTGCATAACAGTAAATCTTGCATTTTTTTGGTGTGAATAAAATTCTTTGTGAAAAAAAAATCAAAATGGAATTCATGTGTAAAGCCTGGAAACATGACTAATAAATTCATGTGTAAAGCCTGGAAACATGACTAATAAATTCATGTGTAAAGCCTGGAAACATGACTAATAAATTCATGTGTAAAGCCTGGAAACATGACTAATAAATTCATGTGTAAAGCCTGGAAACATGACTAATAAACAAAGGAAATGTTATTTTAGTGCCTGGAATGCCTGCATTGTTTATTCTGGACCCTATTTTGAAACTGGAATATTTTGAACTTTGTGTGAAATTGGCCAAATTACCAATTTCTGATCACTTTATTGGGCAATTGAAATAGTTGATTGGGCAGTTTCTTGTACTCTTTCGATAAGATAGAATTCATACTAGTGAAATAGCTAAGAATTTGGTTGACTGGAATAATGTGATTGGCCTAAAATAGGAGTCAAAGTGGGCAAAATTGCCAATGCATAAATATTGCCAACGTAGCAAAATTTGTAGTAGTATAATTTCATCAATTTTCCATCAAATTTTGTACTTTTGTTTTATTACCTTCAGAAAATGTTTCTCTACCATTTCATAAGAAAAATAAATATTTTTCGTTTTAAATTCTTGATTCCTGTGGACAAGCCGTAGAACTACGGGACGAACCCTCAAAGGTAATTTGATAAATTGAAAGTGCTCTGTTTAAAATTTTGTATTTTTTGGCTGAAATATATATTAGCTCAGTGTTATAATTGCCAGAGCTAAATTATTTGGCATCTTTCATGAATATTCTTTATCGTA